AATTTAAAAAGAAATGCATATAATAATTTGAGTGCGGAAGCGAAATAAAGGTTAAGGTTAACATCCCTTACACAATAATTCAAAAGTACTAACAAACATCACAAAACAATTATCTGAAAGAAATACGAAAAATGGAAAAAATAAAGGAAATTATAAAGTATTTAGCATCTACTTGTAACCTTCTTGCGGATCGGGTCCTCCTGATCTGAAATAGTTACATTTGGGCTCCATTAGCAATCTGTAATTAATCAAGCACATCCATTTAATTTGTATAGAGGATTATATTATTATTTATTTGAACTTTAATTCCATGATAGGAAATAGTGTGAGGGGTTCTTACTTGATTCGACGCTGAAAACTAGATGGTTACTGCACTTACGGGCAGTCCCTAGGTTTCCTGAATTTTTCTTCGGGAACTGAAACGCGCTTACGGTACCTACAAGTGTCCCAAATAACCCAAAAATTAGACCCAGGGCCTATTCGACCGATTTCGAAATTTTGGCATGGTGGCGATCTGCCTCGGATTGGCTGTTTTCGGCCATTTTCGGCCAAATTCAGCCAAACTTGCACTGGTTCCTGCGAGAAAATACACTTATGGCTCTCGGTGGGCCGAAAAAACGCAGAAAACCGAAACTTACCGGTGGTGGGGTTCTCCGGTGCTGCGGCTCCTCCGGCTCACGTTGCAATTGGGTGTTTTGCTTCAGTCAACTTGTAGAGAATGAAACGGTGGTCACGATAGTGGAAAAATCACATTGAATGGGAATCGGGAAGGGCTTCATCGGAGGCATTTTTCAAAACACCCCGTGGCGGTGCCATCGAGCTTCGGTGGCGTTTTTCAGCCAATCGACCTGTTCTTTCACTCTGATTTGGCCATATGTGGGTTTAAAATTGAATTTCGTGCAAGAGGGAAAATTTTTACCTTGTTTGGCAGTCGAAAATTGCTTCGATACGGCGGCGGGTGGCGGCGGTCGGCTCTCCGATGGCTGGGCTGGCTTCTCCGGCGAGGGTCTCTGGCGGCTAGGGGTTAGGGTTTGGGTGCGGATGAAGTTATTTATACCCATCCGCTTTTGATCTGGGCCGTCCACTTTTAATCTGAACCGTCCGATCGCGATTAAATAAGAAGTGAATCTAGACTGTTCATCACGATTCAATCTGGGCCATCCGTGCGCAATGCAATCTAGGTCGTCCATGCGTGCTGGAACAGATCTCAGTCGTTCGATTGTGCGCACGCGGATCGTCTACGTGACTTCCCCCGCGTGGCCTCCCGCGTCAGCGCCTCTGTCACCTGACGCGTTCTGGTTGGTTGGGGCTGCTGACCGGACAGCTGACGTAGCGTAACTTTTCTAAATTGCATTTTGACCTCCGGTTTCTGATTTTTCTTTCAAAAATACATTTTGGAACTCAAATTTTTACCTATTTTTTCCAAAATTATTTTCAATTAAATTTCTAATTAATTTTTACCTTTTTTATTATTATTATTTTTACTAGATTAAATTAAAATTAAATAGATTAAATTAAAATTATATAAATAATAATTATATTTATATAAAAAAAAAATAATTAATAAAATAAAAAAAGTGAAAGGTTGGATGTTACACTCAATTGAAGTGATTAGCTTGAAGACGGGTAAATCTATAAAGTGTCCCTTGTCTAACACAGTCAAAATGGCTTATGGACTAACTAAGAGAATTATCTCATCCTCAAACAAATTTTGCATTTAAGTAAAAGCATAAATCTTTGGATGCACTGAATTTGTCCATGTTCATTATTAGATAAGAGGAAACTTAGATCCCAGAACTATTAATTGTATATTGTCGGTTATTCATCAACCTAAAAGGGGTGCAGGTGTAATCATCCGCCTACCAATAAATTTGTCTCTATGAATGTCACTTTGAGGAGAAAAAATTATATTTAGCTTTACATATCCTTGAGGAAGTCCTTTTCATCCATTAAAGATAAGGACAAATGCTTGTTTTTACTAGACTTCTCCACCAACACAGTCATCTATGTACCAATCCAGCCTGTACCACCTGCAAAATCACCTCAATTTGTGTCAACAGCCTCATCCATACGCTTAATGTCCTAGCTATTAAGTGTATATTTGCTAGTTATTCTCCAACTTAAAGGAGTACAAGTGTTACCGTCTATCTATCATATTTAAGAGCAGTCCCGGTTGTTTATTAAAGATAAGGAAATAAACTTATTTTTGCTTGACTCTCCTACCAACAAAGTCGTCCCTGCACTTGTCCAACCCGTACCACCTCTGAAATCACCATAGTCCTAGAGGTTGTTCAAGACACTCTAGGTGATATTTTATTGTGGTTTTGTTCATGATCCTGGTGATTGCGAATCACTAATTTTTCATGATTGTGGATTGGATTTTTTTTTTGTGTTTCCAAAGCTTAATTTTTGTTTCCACTGTGCTAGATTGTTGTAAGACTGAAAAGAGAAAACCACAATTTCTTAGCCACAAGAGTGATGCTTCCAGAGACAAGGTCCCCATGGCCATAACCAATTTTTTCAGACGTCTGACACAAGGAATACTTGTACAAATTTCATCTTTTGGAAGTTTAGTGTTCAAATGCAGTTTAGGTCTAGGATGCGAATGGTGTAATTATTTCTTAATAAAAAGGATATTCATGCTACAACATGAAGAAGTAAGGCTCTGTTGGTACATGAAAATGTTTTTCGATTGTCAATTTTCTAAGTTTATATAGATTTGATTAACCAAATAATACAAGTTAGTTAATAATGAAGAGACCACTAGTGAAATGAAAGTGGAGATAAAAGTTAAAATGTTATTTTTAGTATTTTCTAAAAATAAAATGTGTTGGTTATTCCACAAATATGAAACTTTACATACGTTCATGAGCAAACAAACGCATAAACACGTGCAAGTTAAATAAACTAAAACTCAAAATTATTTTTATCCACCGTATGGAACCTAAGATGTTAATGGAAATTACTGTGCATGATAGTATGATTGTTTTCATCTAAAATATTATCTAACACTTCCTGATGCTCCTGTTACAGATAAGCCCAGATGGAATCATCTGTAGAGATGAGAAAGTTTTTAGGTTTGCCCGTGAGAAAAATATTCCTCTGGTTATGCTTACATCAGGTATACTCAGAATCCGTTTCAAGAAATTATTTTCTGTTTTAAGAAGATTTGTGCATATTTACGTATCCGATGTGTTTTATACTCCTTTTCGCTTTCCAGTTTTTAGTTTTATGTTATGCTCCCCCCATATAGGTATACTGATTCCAGGGCTGATTTGGACGCTACCTAAAATGAGAAAGTGGCTTCGTTTAGCTGGGAATCACTTCTGGATTCTCATGTTTCTGCCGCTTTCTTATGTTAATGACCTGGATTATAAACCAAGAATCTTGTTTACCTAGAAACTCGTGCAAAATATCTTTGTGACGAGGAATAGGCAAAGGTAAAAATATGTTGACCTATCCTACTTTGAAAGAGTTTAAAAGATGCAGATGCTGGAAGGACACCTTGTTGAAGAAACATTGTCTTTTGCAGTTCAATCTCATGGTCTGTGTCTGTGGAGAAGCTCAATGTAGGTGTGGAATAGTAGAATCTGGTTACTGTGACAATCTTAAGCAAAAAATATAGGTCATAGCTGTTGAATCAAACAATATAATTATCAAATTGTTTACTATTATTCGTCTATGATTGTCATTTATTCATGCAAGCCAAATTGTTTTTTTTTTTTTTTTTTTTAAAGTCGATCAAACTGATCCATAATATTGGGGGGGTCCTGAATTTCACTTCTCAATCGTGCGAGCAGGAATTAGTCTAAACCTTTTTTCTGTGTCAGGTGGTTATATGAAGTCAAGTGCCAGAGTTATAGCTGATTCCATCACCAATCTCTCAAATAAAGGATTGATAGATATGCGGCATTCTGAGTAGAAACATAATTACCAGTCACTGTTCAAATTCATGTTCTGTAAAAAGGTTGTAAATTTAGTGGAGAAAAATAGTAATGTGCAAGAAGGAGAAGAGGAGTGTAAACTTATTGTGATATTTAATATACCAGTCGGCAGTGTGCCTGGACGTCCAGTTAAGGGACGACATGTATGATCTCATATGTGAACGCATGTAATAATCGATGTCTAGAAAAAGGGGACTAAAACAAATTTAAAAACCTGTGTATATAATGGACATACACATATATATATATATATATATATAATCTCTGTCGAGTGAAAAATTAGAGAGAGAGAGAGAGAGAGAGAAAGAGACAAACGTAACGTAACTGACATGAAAAGCGAAAAAGGAAAGTCTGCTCCTTGTCTGAGGGCTTGCAGGATGCGTGGGTGGTGAGAGAGAAAGGGTGGTTTCATCTTTTTCCTGTTTATATTCCATCGTTGCCTGCAAACTGTATGTAATTTCCTATCAGTGGCTACAACTTCCAACAATTTAATATATTTCTGAACACTCATTGAGATATGAGCATTTATTTATTTAATATTCCTCGAGTTAGTATAAATCTAAATTTCTACTTTAGTTTTTAGTGTTTGCTATATATAAGATATAATTACATAAATATTATTTTATATAATTAAATGTTTATACAATGTATAATTCTCATAAACAATGTATAATTTTATTTTTTAAACAATATTTCGGAAAATGAATAAATATCATATGATAATTGTTGGTCTTTCCTTTATATATATAATAGATATTTGAACTTATTAGAGAGTTTTTTACCCTTGGTTTGTCTCATTTATTTATTTTTTAATTCTGAACTATTTTATAGAATAATTAACTGAATAAATTAAAATTTATAAATTATAAGAAAATAACAAATAATTTTGAAAGAATATTTAAATATAATCTGGTTAATAATAAATATAAAATAATATTTTAAATATTTAATATTTAAAATTTTGATTAATAATTTATAAAAAAAGGCAGGCCCAGACGACATTTGTCTCCTACTTATTTCAAAATTTTAATTTTTTTACTTGCACTCTGTTTTATAAATTATTAATTATATACATTTTTATTTAATCATATCTGTGTCGAATATAGACAAGTTGGCAAATAATTCACCCCAAGTTACATGGCTCTCTTTGACCTTCGCTGTTGTTTCTACTCTCAAGCTATTAAAGATACTGTCAAATTTAGCAGCTTAAAAAATAAATGAACTTTACCCAACTCAATTTCCGAGAAAAAAATATTAGATTTCAAGAAAATGAAATGTTTTCTTTCCAGCAAGAGAAAAAAAAAAAATGAAGTGTTTTTCTAGTTAAGCACAAAGCAATATTTTACAAAGTTCATAGATTTGAACTGAATACATATTTTCCCAAACAACACAACAGATTTGATATTCCCAAATAAGTTCCTACTTCATGTAAGCACTTCTCCCTCCCTGTGCTTCAAGGAGCTTTTATGTTGATAAATGGGTTTTGAGATATTAACTGAATATGGATTAGAAACAGCATTACAGAATGCTGCTGACTTGTTTAGAAACTGAAACTCATCCATGGATTGTCTTTGGGTTCTGCACCCACCTTTCTGCTTTGCTTTAGTTGACTCAGTCAGGCTCATGTAATTTGGCTTGTTACTACTATCTTCTGTTCTATCAGAAGTCAAGCCAGAAGCTGGTGTTGCAGAGGTACACATGGATGATGATGCAGAGCTCTCATCATAATACCCAAATTCCCAACTAGGACTTGAAGGTTTTGCAGATATTCTAGTGGTTACATTGTTCTTTCTAACTTTAATCTTTGGATGTAGTGTTGCCTCTGAGCTTGAGGGATCAGCTTGTGACTGTTCCATTAGTCTGCTCTCCCATGGCTTGGCTGCCATCCAACGCTCCAGCCAACTCCATCCCCAGCTAGTCTTGTCAAATTCTTGCTTGGTAAGCCAAGAACCAGAGCTTTTCTGCAGTGTGCTTGAACTGGGATTTGTTCTCCATTGCTAAAGAAATCCAAAAACAAGATAGATATGTATATGGTTTGCAACAAACAGAGATAACGACGACGACGATGTAATGGAGTTGATCTGTGCATGATTTTACCTTCTGGGCAAGAGAGTAAGCAATTGCTCTTTCTCGTTTAAAAGCTCCTTCTTGCCTCATTTGTAACTTTGCTTTAACATCCTCCAAAGTCCCTTTACTGTCACACCATCCTTGCTGAAAATTACAAGAAGAGAAGATGAGAAAAATGAAGTTTGATAACAATAGAAACTAAAGATGGCTTAGAGTAAGGATTAATAGTTTACCTCAGCCTGCTTCAACAGATCCATCTTACTTCTATGTTCATCAAGAATCTTTTGCACTGCTTGTCCTTCAATGGACATTCTCACTCGTCGAGCTCTGACTCGGGCTTGAACTCGAACCAGAGCCTGCATGCACCGCAATGTCACAGCTGCCTGCTTCCTCACTTGTCGACCTCTAACCAGAGCTTGAAGTCTCACCACCCCTTTCAATGCCCTCAACGCCCTTCTTGCCTACAATCAATTGGTTGTAAGAGCTGATTAAATCAAACAGCTAAAATGTGCAGAAAACAAACATGTGAAAAACCAGTTTACCAAGAATCCACGAAAAGCAGTTTGGATCCGGATTGCAGCCCATTCTTGTCGAACAACTCTGAAATCTTTAGGAGGAGCTCGAACCACTGTGGCCACTGCAGCTGAAAAAGCATCAGCCACAGATGAAGATTCTGATCCTTCTGATTCTGCCCCATGTTTACCCTTGAAAACTCTCCATGAAGACACCATTTCCCCCGAAGAACTCCTCCACAGCTTCCATTTTTTGTTCTTCACAACTCCCTTCTCCTAAAACACACAAACCTGAGCTGTTAACCATTAATTTTTTTTTTTAAACTGTTAAAAGCAAGTATGATAAGAGACCATAATTTGGAGCTTACACTCTCGTCTTTCTCGGTCTTTTTGAGACCTATTAATGATTTTACCCACTTCCCTGAAGCACCCATTGAAGAAACAGCAAGCGTCCTTTGAAGTTAGAAACTATATGAATCAATAACGAGTTTCCAATGATGGAACAAGTAGAAGTGGAATACGAAAAAACGAATCTTGAAGAGATCTAAAAGCTTCAAACCTCAGAGACCAAAACCTTGGCAAGTTAAAAAACATGGGTATTTGATTTGAGTGGAAAAAAAAAAAGAAAAGAAAGGCCTTGAAGTTAGAAACTCTGATTGATTAAATGATTATCAGAGACGACGCAGACTTGTGGGTATAATCTGGGGGGGGGGTTACAAGGTTTGATATTTGAAATTCAAATTAAGAAAAAAACAAACAAGCAAGCTGCTTCTCCCGCTCGATTTCATTTGTTGGTATTATATTCTCGAAAGGAGAGAGCAGACCCACCAACCAGTTTGTGGGTAAATGACATGAAAAGGCACGAACCCTTTTCTCTCCTATCAGAAAGAAGAAGAATATGAAAAGAAGAGAAGAAAAGCAACCCGACAAACAAATCTCTCATACTCCCTGCGCCAAAGATTTGGGTTTTTTTTTTTTTTTTTTGGCAAAATTTCCTCAATTTCTTCAGAATCTAAAAATATAAATATTTAGTAAAATATAATTTAATATTTGATTTATATTAGAAAAAATATAATCCAAAAAACAGCGTGCTTTGTAGACTATTTTCAGCAAAAGTTCAATGTTCTCTCTCACTCTCTTGTAACCGCGTGTATGGCACTTGCCATTTTTTTTAATTATTATATATTTATTTTATTTAAAAATAATAAATCTCAACAAAGACAAATCAGTCTTTTAATATTTGTTTTGACAAAACCTTCTCCTAACTGCATAAAAGTATAAACTCCATCAAACCTTTTTAGTAAAATTTTTATTATTTATTGACTTAAAATCAAAATATTAAAAATAAATCTTTTGGTAAATATCATATTTTACATGAATCATATTGTTGATGCGATTTAAATTTTAGTTTAACTGGTATTCGGGATATTTTAATAATATTAAATATTCAGAGTATTATGATAATATTAAAATTAATTTTGTTTAATTTAAAAAAAATATTAATATTTTAGATATATTTGAATTTATAATGTAATTAGTAAATATATCATTTTCTTATCGTTATAGTAAAACATATTTTGTCTTTTTTATCCGTGCACATAATTATCTTTGCTGAACTATGTAAATCTCGTATTTTTTTTCTCTATTTTTTTTTTTTTTTTGTGATGGTGTGTGCGGTTGAGATTGTTTTCTTTAACATATTGATTAATTTAATATTTTTATAGTAAATATAAATAGTTTAAATGTCTTTATTTTTTTTGTTCTTTTTTATCATTTTAATAGTTACTACTAATTATATAAATATAATACTATGTCAAAAATATATATTTTTTTAAAAAATGAATAAGCTAATATTATTTTAAATAATATTCAAAGTATTTTTACTAGCTCAGGCCAAACAAATGCTTATACATGAGACATTGCATGGAGGAGCCAAAAACTTTTTACATTCTTTCCAAAAATCTTTTTGCATTCTCCATCTCCTCCTTCCATGGTGAATTTTTAGGCTTGTCTTTAGGATTTTGGAGACCCACTTTGGATGCTTTAAATAAAGTTCATTTGTTGAATTGTTTCATAAGAATTTTTGAAAGAACTAGACTTTCCAAAAGGAGAAATCCACAGCTAGAAATAGTTTCTATCATTTATTTACTCTATTTAATTGTCTTATATATTACGTGTTAACTAGAAATTTACTAAAACTGTGTTTAAGAACCTCTGGTAGTATTGTCATAAGCTAAATCTATGACCAAAATAAAAGAAATAACTAAGAAAAAAATATAAAACAGTAATAATATGATAACAAAATTTGATTATGTAATAATTGGAAAATTTAATGGAAGAGAGTTCATCGTCATTGTGGGATTATTAAAAGAAAACCCAGCTGTTTCAATCCACTTCACTCAGAAGGCCCAGCCTGGACCCAAAACCCAGCATGAAGATCCCAAAGTGATGTCAGATCCCTAAGGCTTCATTTTCGGGGGGACCCTTTTCTCTTTTTAGCATGGTGGCTGAAGGGGAAGTCGTGGCGTGCATGAGGGGAGGACTCCAGAAAGTTTCAAGCTTGAGCAAATTTGTTGGGCATGATGCACATTAGGTATTGTTTTCCCTTCCTAGCTTACTTTTCTGTTTACCAATCTAAATATGTGATTTTCCATATGAGGGATTTAGAATGAAGATGATGCAATGTTGTTGATATTATCCTGTTATGCTTACTTTAAGTAGGTGATTACTACCCATGATTAATATAATATCTTCCCTCTTAGTTTGCATGATGAAGTTTCTGTTAGTGAAAACGATTTGGAGTAGAAGTACTGTATTGGTTGTGATTAATGAAGCTTGAAAAACAAAAACTATTTAAGAAAATTAAATTGTTTACACATTTAGGAGTATTATTGTTTTGTTTATTAGTGTTTGATTTAGATGTTGAGGTTAGTAAATAGTTGTAAATGTTATTTATCCTCGAGTTATTTGCGGCATTGATGTTGAATGTTCAGTTTACCAGTAGAGAAGAGACGAAGATGGAATAGTTTTGGAAATGTGAATAAGTTATGTTGTCTCTGTTTGACCAAGCTTTAGCTAATTATGGCATTTTTAATCAAAGTTAACCGGGAGAAAATAAATAACTAAATGATATAAAAAGTTAAAAATAAGGTGACAAATGATAAAAAGTGAAGTCAACAGAAAAAGGAAGTGGATCTTACGGATTATAGAACAAAAAGAGAGTTTGGATTCCTTGGTGCAGATTCAAAACGATGAAGACCTCTTGAAGAAGAGGGACATTTGAAGACGATTACTTTGTAACTTTCACCTTTTTAGGTTTTGCCCGGTTGTGAGATCTATCACAGACTGGTTTATGTGGATCAAATCTCAATCCTATAACAATTAATATCAGAATAAGATTTTTAAAAATAATTGTTTGTGGTTTTTAATTCAGGTATTATGCAAGCAGGTTAATAGGAAATTGCTCATGGGTGTACTGCTGATGAAACACTGTTCTTGGTAGAAATATTGTAAGTCCTGCTGAAGTTCATTGGTGCCCTTCAAAAGAAAAGTTAAAGAACATGAGAAATTGACCTGTATAAAATTTGAAAGCATCCTTTATGATCTCATTTCTTTAGACGAAGACGAAGACGATGACTAAGGGAAGAAAACTAATCGCTTAGTGGGTGGTGTCTTCTTGGTGAAGATAATAGTGCAAGGGAAATTTGTTGATGGTGAAGTCACCAGAATAGTGACAATTCTTGAGCCAAAGCCTTTTAGTGGCACGACAAGTGCCAAAAGCCTCAAGATGATTTTTTATGGGACACGACTTAATACTTTTCAACTGTCCATATTACTAGAAAAGAAGATGAACGATGAATGTACTAGCATATATCTTGTAGGGAATGCCCAACTTTGGTGTAAGACTATAGTAGAGGATTTAACTTGAGCTCGGATTATTTTGTGGGAGATGTTGAAAAAGATTTTTTAAGAAACAATGTCTCACACTCAATACACCTTATACAAAAGAGTTCAGTAGATTTCAAGAAACAATTTAATTTCTTAAAAAAGGGATTGTAAGAAATAAATAATTAATCTTTCTATTGCTTCGATATTGAATACAGTTAATAAAATATTTGAAAGTATTGATTATATAATTTATAGTTCCTTAGTTTATAATATAAAATTTTTTAAAGGATTTATTTGAGACATTTAATTTTTGTGAGGTACAGATAATACTTAAGTGTGTCGTTGTTATTTGTTTGTATCTCTAAAGACTCAAATCGAATCCTTATTCTTTTCAATCTCCATTATGAATTTAATAAAATTTAAAATTTTCGTATTAAAATTTGCTCCTTTGATTTGAGACGTACTCTTTGACATTATTTAATAATTGAATAGTAATAATTATAAAAAAAATTACTGGAATGATTTTACTTAGAACATGTGGCTGCGTGAAGCTGTTTGTGTTTGATTACTTCAAAGGCAATAGAGAAAGTTGTGCATGGCGGGGCGTGCTTGTAGACATCCATTGGAGATTAACAGTGACTGGTTCTAGGGTTGACTATAAAGGCCAACTAGTGGTGGGGGTGGTCGGTGTTGTGATGGTCAATAGCAAGAGGGCGACGATCAGCTGACTAGACTTTTCTATTTTAGTAATGAAGGTTGAATAGAATTTGTAAAAAATTTCATGAATTTTTTAACCTAAAGTTTTGATATTATATTAAGAATTATTTTTTAATTGATATGTATTTTGTTAAATATTACAATCTAGACAAAAAAACTTAATTATAATTAATTATAGAATATATAATTTACCCTTATATCTTGATTTTTTTTCTTTAACATTTTGATTTATTTCCTCTTTAATATCCTGAATTATTTTCTCCTTAGTATTATGATTTACTTACTCTTTAATGTTCTAATTAATTTATTTCTTTAATATTTTTATTTACTTAATTTTTAATGCTTTTGATTTATTTCTTTAATGTTCTTATTGATATGTAATTGTTAAATATTACAATATAGATAAAAAAAATTAATTACAATTAAGTACATGATATATAATTTACCCTTATATCTTGATCTTTTTCTCTTTAACACCCTAATTTATTTTTACTTTAATATTTTGATTTATTTTTTCTTTAATATTTTGATTTACTTCTTCTTTAATGTTCTGATTTATTTCTTTCTTGAACATATACAGAGAATCTTATGACTAATTAAGTATGTCTTGTCAACAAGTTGAAAAAATAATTAGGTTTGTGGAATTTAATTAATTAATTATCTTATATGTATATGAATCGTTATTATAATGTTATCAATCCAAATATATTTATTATATAGTGAGATATCTTGTTAACCTTGTCTTAACAAATAGTTATATATTTACATGGAGTTAACACATGATTC